GGGGGACAGTGGGCTTTTCCTGTGGGAGGAAGGCAGCCAGACCTGGTGGAGTCCAGGCCTGCCTGGGTCCTGAGGGCGCAAGGTCAAGGGTAGGTTCAGCTCTGTTTCTTACTTTTGTATTGTGGTAAAGTTTACATGACGTGAAAGTTAACCATTGTAACCATTTTTAAGTGTACAGTTCAGTGGCTTTAAAGGATATTCACAAGGCTGTTCAAACATCACCACTATGCATTTCCAGAACTTTTTCATCACCTCAAAGAAAATGAAACTCTGTACCCATTAAACGATAACACTCTACTCCCCCCTCCCCATTCTGCTTTGTCCGTCTGAATTTGACCACTCTGAGTACCCCAGACAGTTGGAATCAAACAGTATTTGTCCTTTTGTCTGACCTCTTTCATTTAGGATAACATGTTCAAAGTTCATACATATTTGTGTCAGAATAGCCTTCCTTTTTGAGGCTGAATAATACTCCTTTGTATGTGTGTACCGTATTTGGCTTATCCATTCATCTGTTGATGGATACTTGGGTTGTTTCCACCTTTGGGCTCTTGTAAATTGTGCTGCTGTGAGCATTCATGTACAAATATCTGTGTAAATCCCTGCTTTCCTTTCTGTTGGGTATATGCCTGGAAGTGGAGTTGCTGGCAGATGGTAATTCTAAATTTAACTTTTTGAGGAACCACTGAACTGTTTTGCACAGCAGCTGCACCAGTTTAGATTCCCACCAGTCAGTGCACAAGGATTCCAGTTTCTCTACGTCTTTGCCAAAGCTTGTTATTTACTGGTTTTTTTTTTCATAGTGGCCATTCTCGTGGGTGTGAGGTGATACCTCATTGTGGTTTTGATTTGCATTTCTTTCATGATTAATGACATTGAGCATCTTTTCATCTGCTTGCTAAAAGCATTTGTATATTTTCTTTGGAGATATGTCTATTCGGGTAACCTTTTGTCAGGTTACTTGTTTTTTCGTTGTAGAAATTCTTTTTTATATTCTGGATATAAACCCCTTATCAGATTTGTCATTTGCAGATTTGTGTTTCTTTTAAAAAAAAATCACGAATGAAATTGTGTTGCTCAGTGCAGGTAATGGCCTTTAAATCCTGCTCAGCTGAGTCTTTTACCATCCCTGGGCTACTGTTCACCTGGCCACTCACTTTCTGAGCTCGTTTCCTCATCTGGGCGTGGACATAACTGTACCTTCCCTGTAGGACTGCTTGAGGACTAAGAAAATAAATTGCCTTGAGACAGGGCTGAGGCGTTCCTCTGGTTCCCATGAATGGAGCCATTTACTCGTCTGGAGGCCAAGATCGAAGACCCTGCAGCTTTGGGCTCTTTCTGGGAGGTTTGGCTTCCAGAGCCCCCCCCCAGCTAATCTTTCTGCCCAACCAGACCATGATCAGCTGCTTCGTGTCCCCTTTAGAGCAAAGCACGCCACAGATTCCCAGGAGGTAGGTGTTAATTAGTGTGATCACGTTGGTCTCATCACACTTAACGTTGTCAGCTCTTGCCCCCTCTGTTTTCCCCTTTGTGCCCACAGTGCCCCGGAGGGTACCCGTTCACAGTTGGCACTTAATAAACTTGCTTAGGCGAACGTGCTAAGGGTGTGAGTGCGGGGTCTGAGAGGCAGCCTGGGAAGGAGGCTCCTGAGAGTGTCTTTCCACACCGTGTTTTTTCCTTTGAAGAAGGAGGAGAAGGCAAAACCCGACTCTCCAGCTTCAGACGCTTACTCTTCTCATTAGGGGCCGGCCTCTGTTCCCGGACGTGGGCGTTCGTTGCTGCATCTGCCCCCTGGGGTGCTGGATGGGGTTCCAGCTTTGGCCCAGGGTGCCACAGACCAGTACAATGTTCTCTCTGCATCACTGCACGCCGTTTCGGAGTGGAAGTATACTTGGACCATGCAAATGTTTGATCTTGTTGGGTAGTTTAAAATTTCATTTGTCAGGTCAGCGTTTTGTCTCTTTTGACCCTGAGGCTCTTTCTCATGGTTAATACTTTGGCACTTCTAGAAATAACTCTCTCTCCCCGTCTCCATCTCATCCTCTACACAGCCCTCCAGCCCTCCCCGTCTGTCTGTGTCCTCCGGTCGCTCCCTCTCACTGCCCCTCTTCCTCACTCCATCTCTCCTCCTCTCCTCACTCCTTCCTTCCTTTCTCTCTCTTCTTGTTTTACAGACTGTTTCATATTTCTTGAAGTATGTTCATTTCCCAAATGATCCTCTGGACCACTCACCTAATCAGGAGTCCTTAAGTTGTGTGTGTGTGTGTGTGTGTGTGCATTCTTTCAGACATTTCCATTGTTATTTCTTTAACCAACACAGTGTGCATTAGAGTAGATTCGGACAGACCGGAGTTTGAGCCTGGGCTCCACCACCAGCACTAGCCCCTCCTGCGTACCCAGGACACTGTCACAGGGCCAGTCGTTTCTCTTCTGGCACCTCGTTTCCCATCTGTGAAGTGGGCCCCCTGGCAACGTGTTCCTCCTGCGGTGAACGGGAGGGTTCAGTGAACCAGTTCCAGTTAAGGCTTCAGTTCAGGCAACTGTGATTTCTATGCTGTCTGTAAAAATTTGCCACATATTTTTTTTTCACTTATCATCTAAAGCCAGTTTGACTGAGGTCTTTTGAGCCGAATTGCTCAAAGGAGGGCGGAGGGAAAGTAGAGAGATGGAAGGTAGCAGCTGTGCCCTCTCAACCGAAGGTTCCACCGAGTCCGTGACAGTGTGCGGACGCCCTCCTCCCGCACCTGCCGGATGTCTTGGGCCCTGACTTCCACGTACCTCCCAGGGCTGACGTCCGGGTCGGCTCCCGGGCCGTGGGAAGGAGAAAGCTGACCCTGACTTTTTCTGAGTTCTCATACATGGACTTCTCTTCTGTCTTGCAGCTGATGCCTTTTTCAAAGCCGCCATAAGCCTTGTTCCAGAAGTTCCAAAGATGATTAACATTGATGGGAAGATGCGGCCCTCAGAATCATTCCTTCTGGAATTCCTCTGCAATTTCTTTTCTACTTTATTGATAGTTCCGGTACGTTTCCCCAGAAGACGTGGAGGTGATGTCCTTCTCTGACCTGTTTTATGTACATTCTTAGCCCTTAAAGTGTGAGGACGTTTTGTCCATATCTGTGTTGGTTTTCTAGTCAGATGTTTGAATTTCTCAATGTGTTTTCCATTCATTTTGTTTCCAGGATGTATTAGTCGAGGCTCTCTATATGGCCAAAGGGGTGTCATTTAGTGGTTAAGGGCTTAGGCCTCTGGACCAAGATGTTTAGGGTGGAATCCCAGCTCCCCTTCCTCCCAGCTCTGTAGTCTCAGGCAATTGAGTAACATTACCGGGCTGCAGTTTCCTCATCTATAAAATGGGAATAATAGTATCTACATCTCTAGGTTGCTGTTAGTGAATATTAAGTAGGCAGATAAACATACATGGTTAGAACAGTGCCTTAGTATGTTGTAAACACTAAAAAGGTGGTGATGTTCTTTTGATGGCAAGTACCGGAAACCACAGCAAGACAGTGAAAGTTGAAGTCTTAAGTATTTTATTTTCTATATTAAAAATAGTATTCTGAGTCACCCATAGGTCTCACCAGGCTGTGACAAGGTCCAGGCACAAAACAGATTGGCTCCTGCTGGAGCCAAATAAACATAGGAATTTGGGGATGTACTTTAAAATAGTCTTGCTACACCCCCTAGTCCTTTACCAAGCGTCTCGCTCAGTAGGTGGGTTTGGCCTCTGAATCAGCATTTTTGAAAGCTCTCTCATCGTCAGGTATAGGTGGTCCTAGGATCACATTTTGAGAAACTTTCCTCTGGACTCAGGGCATGAAAGAGCCTAAGCTCCCATACGTACGGGGTCCCTTTCTGGGGAGATAAAAATGTCCTAATGGGGTGATTGCACACTTTTGTGAACATACGAACAATGAATTTGCATTTTGAATGGGTGAATTCTTGGGTGTGTGAATCATATCTGGGTGAAGCTGAGAAAACAGAAAGGGACTTAGCTCCCAACTTTCCAAGTTCAGATCCCAAGTTCGCTGGAGAGAGGCAGGGATGGTCAGGAGTCTGGGATGAAATCGAGGATGCTTCTCTCATTGTTTTCAGATCTCCTTCTTAGTACTTTATAATCAATTTCTCTCTCTTGGATATATCCTAGTTATTTGTCAAGTGGCAAAATCAAGGTTTCTAGTGAGGAAATTGATCAGTGCAATTGTTCATTGATTAATTAGATGCATTTTCATTCTGCATGCAGGGTTTTCTCTGTTAAAAATCATTGAAACTTTGTGTGTGGAGTCAGAAACTTGTATTCAGTCCTGACCCAATGACTCAACAGCCTTGTGGCCTTGAGAAAGTTTTGTAGCTCCTCAGAGCCTCAGTTGTCACCTTTCTAAAATTCCATCTAAAATTCCAACCAAATGTATACCTTTGCAGGGCTGTTGTGAGATTGACTGAAATGATAGGAAAGTGTTTTGTGAACCAGAAGCTCTGTCCCTGGGGTTACAAACTGATGACCAGTGGTTGGAATCTAGCCCGGAGATACACTTGTTGGTCACATCATGATGGAAAACATTTGGAATGAATTATCAACATGTAAAAATTGGTAGATCACAGAAAACCCCAGATTTTTCAGTTCCTTATGAAAAACTATGTCCTGCCATGTGGGGCCTGCGTTCCCCAATCTGGCCAGTTGGCCACAGCTGGAAGGCAGCTGCCAAGTTCTGGGGGGGCATGTGCACCCTCCCCAGGTCTCCTGGGCACCTCCAGACCCACTAAATCTGCTTCTTTTGCCTACCTGGCCCCTTAGGCATTCAGGGGAACACCCTGGTCTCAACAGACTTGATTGTTCCTGGTATCATTGCTTGGGTTTCTGCCAGGATTTACTCTTAACGAGATGAAGAGTAGCCACAGTTTGTGACTCTTGGCTGGGTGCCCCGTGCCAGGCTGACCCCGTCCGTCAGCACTCAGTCTCTGTGAAAACTCCCCCGAGCCCTGCAGGGTAGGAGTCATCGTGCCTTTTCCACTTAAGGAAGCCTGGAGCCAGAGAGGCCATGCGGCCCTCCTGGGGTCACGCAGCTGGTAAGCAGCAGAGCTGGGAAGTCCTCCAGCGCCTGTCCTGCACAGCCTGTGCCTGAAACATTTGCAATGGGCTTTATCTGCTCAAGGTTGTTGAGATTTAACAGCCCTGCGTTCCTCCTACAGGATGCAGCGTAGTAAGTACTGGCTGGCTTTGCGGATGCCCGTCGACATTCAGCCTGAATAGCCAAGGCTGAGCACTGAATGAGCTCAGAGGCCAGGGGGTGGTCCTTACAGGAACCACATCTCCTTCAAGGAGGTTGAGCACGAGACAACTCCCATGTCCCATTTCTGCCTGGTTCACATTGTACCTTCCATGTCACAGCTTGTTTTTATTTCTTTAAATTTAATTTTATTGTTGTAAGGATATTTAACATCATTTACCCTCTTAACACAGCTTTAAGTGTACCATACCATATTGTTGACTCTAGGCACAATATTGTACAGCACATCTCTAGGGTTACTCATCTTGCTTAATTAAAATGTGAAGCTCGTTGATTTAGTGACTCCCCATTTCCTCCTCCTCCTGGGCTTGAATTCTGGTCTTTGGTTCTATAAACATGACTATTCTAGATGCCCTATAAAAGTGGAATCATACAATATTTGTCTTTCTGTGACTGGCTGACTTCACTCAGCATAATATCCTCAAGGTTCATCCAGTGCTGTCGTGTATGATAGCATTTCCTTCCTTTTTTAAGGCTGAGTAGTATTCCACAGTACACGTATACCACATTTTCTTTATCCATGTATCTATCAGTAAACATTTAGGTTGCTTCCACATCTCATCTGCGGTGATAGTCCTACAATGAGTGTGAGAGTACTGATCTCTCTTTGAGATCCTGATTTCAACTGTTTTAGATAAATACCTGGAGGAAGGATTGCTGGATCATACGGTAGTTCCATTTTTAATTTCTTGGGGAACCTCCGTACTGTCTTCTATAGTGGCTATACCATGTTGCGTTCCTACCAACAGTGCTTGTACAAGGCTTTTTAAAGAACGGGTTTGAAAAGCTTTGATTCATTTTATTTATTTAGGAAAAAATTGAAGTCATTTTAGACCAAAAAAAATTCCTGACCTACTTTATTCTTACTTACAAATGCAGAAGTAAACATTCCCCCAGGACAGCCCTCTCTCCTCAGCAACCAGTGTCACTTTTGGAGCATTCTGAAGCATTCTACTTTGGTGTTAGTAGCGGTCAGCCTCTTGGTGGACTGCAGTCTTCTCTATATAATTGAACTAATGCGTTTCTTTTAACATTTGATAGGACAAAAAAAATAGAATAATTGAACAAGTTCAGTGTTACCACTTCAGAGGCCCAATTTTGATTCAGTTGAAATTTGTAGGCAATGGAAATGTTATTACCGTCCGTTTTCTGGCACAAATCATCAGGACACAGCAGGGAAATGTCTTCTCTACTTCTTATCTTCGTGAAAGGCCCAGCCATCAGCATAACATGATGTCCAGGTGCTAAGCTTCATTCATTCTGTCTACTCTGCAAATATTCTTTGATCTGGGAATGGAGGAATGAACAAGAGAAATGTGGACCCACTCAAGGAGACAGACACTAAGCAAATATGTACTTAACTGCAGTTGTATCAAGTGTCACAAAGAACTGCAGGGACCTCTGAAAAAATCTCAAATTTGAAGGGAAGTGGGTCAGGGGAATTCCCCGAGAATGTGAGTCTTGAGCGGATCGCTAAGTGCAGAGGAGGAAGGAGGGGGAGTTCTGGGCAGAGGGAACAGCGTGGGTAAAGGCCTTGAGGTGGGAAGGGTCACCCAAGAGCACTGGAGGGACTGGAAGAGAGCCATGGTGAGGAGTGCTTAAGAGGCTAGAGGGACAGACACTAGGGCTGCCAGCGAGGCCAGGGAGCTCTATAGACTTACCGACAGCCTCGCATCTCCATGGTGATGTCTCCCGCCCTCCACATCCCCTCAGTGCCCCTCTTTCCTTTCATGCCCTTCCTCCCAGCCCTGCTGATTTCTGGCTCCTTCTCTCCCTCCCTCCCTTCCTTCCTTCCTTTCTTTTTTTTTCTGTTTTTTAAAATTGAAGTACAGTCAGTTACAATGTGTCAGTTTCTGGTGAACAGCATAATGTCCCAGCCATGCATACACATACATATATTAGTTTTCATTTTTTTTTCATTAAAGGTGATTACAAGTATTGAACATAGTTCCATGTGCTATACAGAAAAAACTTTTAAAAAAATCTATCTTTATATATCTGGCTCCTTTTCTAAAGGACTTTAATATTTATTTAACATGCTTATATACCTCTTACAGTGAGCCAGCCAGCAGTTCACAGATATTCACTCCAAACAAGCCTGCTATTATCCTCATTTCACAGAAGCAGACCCTGGCACAGGGAGGTGAAGTGACCTGTCCAGGGTCGCCAGCTAGTCTGAGTGTCCAGGAAAGAGAGTTCCAAGTCAGGATGTGTGTGCTCAGCGCTGCCTTCACTGCCTCTCAGCTCTCCGGGAAGTCAGTCATTTCTAGGGGATTCCTTCTCCCAAGGAGTGACATTGAATGGAAAGATTCCCACCAACCAGGGACCCAAAGGGATGTTGGGAATGGTGGAAGCCAAAAGCCCCCTTTCATCCAGCTGAGAGAGATAGAGATTTGAGTCTCTCCCAGGTGCCCCTTGGGAGCCCCCTTGGAAGCATTTGTTTGCTGTAAGGGAGACCCCAGGGGAACCTCTTCCCGCTTGGATTGCCAGCTGAACCCAGGATCTTTTTTCCTTCTTAAAAAAAAAAATCTGTGTTTGCCTTGCTTCAGTTGCTGGCACTGAGCCATCAAAGTACAATTTTCTTTTTTTTGAAAATGTTAACAACCACTGAAGCGTGGATATCATGTGGAGAATTTTTTCCTTGTAGAGAAGGTTGGAAATAATCTCTTGGTCTCATCGGTCGTGAACAAAAGCTCACGGAAATGGCTTGCTACAAGCCTTCATGTCTGCGTTACCCTTTCCTCCACCTTTTTGAAGCTGTGTTGAATGCTCTCTCACGATAGTTATGGCAGTTTGTGTTGAAATTAAGTTACTGGAACATTCAGATTGTTGTCGCTTTCCAAGGCAGATCCTGAAATAAAATATATTTTGAGCATCCACATAGCAGAACGAAATAGCCTAGTTAGAAACAGCTGTTAGCGAAGAAAGGCAGTAGGACGTTGCCAGCTGAGACTGACTCTGGAAACGGGAGGCAGACCATGGCGTGGGCAGTTTGCATGTGTAGAGTTAGAGGTATTCAGACTTCAGATCATCACGTGCCCTTTTCGTGCCAGTGTCCTAGCAGCAACTCCTGGAGATGTTAACAGCTGTACAATACACTTTGCACCCCTCCACCCTCATTCTTACCCATTGAGGGTATCGCTGCTGTTTGTCCACACATTGGATTATGTAGCTGTTAACTCCCACCCGCCTCGGTTAGAGCTTCTCATACTCCATGCCTGAATCCCGAATAGCAGGCTCTGTGTATACCTTCCCCCAGCTAGCCAGCCCCATCAAGTCCGAGGCATGTCTCATTCATCTGCAGAGAGGAGAGGTGGTGTAAATAGAGTATTAGCAGTTAGGAATGTCCACTCTGGAGCCAGACTGCCAGAGCTCAAATCCTGGTTCCCCCATGCACCAGCAGTGTGGCTCATTTCCCATCTGTGAAATACGGAGGGGGGAGTGTCATAAAAGTATCTTCCTGGAAAGTAGAAAACCTATAGTAGCTTTCATAACTACCATAAAAGTTACTGTTGTCATTTGTTTTATAGCCACTTCAGTGCCTGGCACATGGGAGGTGCTCAAAAAACGTAGTCTGTTTAACATTATTTATCTACCAGGTGCCTGCTGTATACTCAGCACTGTCCCAGGAACCAGTGTGTCCCCCGGGCAGTCCTGGCAGTGTATTATTGGAAAACACAACAGATAAAGTACCTGTCCTTCTGGAGGTTATAGGCTAGGATGAGAAAAAGATGAACCAAGAGATACTGTTGGATGGTTCACTGAAGGAATAAATAAGATCGTTTCAGATGGTGAGAATTGCTCTGAAAACATGAGACAGATGACTTGACATAGAGACCAAGGGCGGGTGAGGGGCTCTGAATGGATGATCGGGAGGGCCTTGTGAAGAGCTGACAGTCAGATGACATCTGGAGGCCCAAGTCTTGAAGATCAAGATTCCAGTTGGGAGACCAGTTGGGCCAGGAGGCCGGAGCACTTTTAGCATGTCAGCTGCCCCCCAGAGCATCCTCGGCCCTTCTGTCTGATCTGTATGGGAGTCTGGCATCTGGAGAGCGCGTCCTTGGGGCTTTCTTCTGTCTGGTTTCCAACTAGTTCAGCCAGTGGGAGATACTGACAGTGGGTTGGAGGGCAGGAGGAGAACGAGGTCATTGGGGAATTTGTCCCCCAGGGCTCGCTGCCATAGTTTGGCAGTGGCTTTGTTCTTCATTCAAGACCACGGCTGCTGCCAGGCGGCCTCTTCCAGCCACAGGTCGTGCACGTTCCAGTAACTCCTCTCCCCACCGCCTGCTTTCAGCCCGAGGATGGTAGCGGCTTCCCTCTGTTGCCAGGCCCTGGGTGCCTCATCTTTCCTCATTGTTTCCCTTCCCTCTGATAATTCCCCTCTGATAATCCTGCATTCAACCGCTTAACCCTTTTGAGGTTGCCGTCTGTGTCCGGCCAGGACCCGGAGCAGTCTAACTGGTCCTGGGAGCCTCAAAGGTGGCGCTAGACTAAGTGAGGGGCAGGACGCACCTGCTGCGGCGATGGCGGCAGGAGCCGGGCATTTATTCTCCACGGGAGGAGAAGTGTTTGGAGGGTGTTAAGCAGAGGAGCAGCATAATCGCGTGTACCTTTTTGGGGCTGAATTGAAGCTGCTGACTCTTTTGCTTCCAGCACTGATTCAGTTTAGCATCTGAGAAACTCTTACAAGCTCTGTGTGGGACTGTCTCTCGGGTTCTTCCTCTCCCAGGAGAGGATCCTCCATTTAGCTGTTCACGTTGTTGAACACCCTAAAGAGTGAGGCTGTATTAGAAAGCCAGTGCCTTTGGCGGTGACAGTGACCATTTGGGGGTTTGCCTGCGGTGGGCGGCTTTCTGCTGTGCCATCTGCCACGAGGCCTGCAATCTAGCTTTCGTAGTTGGAGGAACGAGGCTTTTTACTGTTACGCACATAAGAGGAAGGCTGTAATTTTGGAAACAGGCCATTCAGCTGGCAGGTAACTTTGCTTTCTTTCCTCGGACCCAAAGCTCTCAAAGCTTGTCTGCTCTGACCGGAGCGTGTTGCTTAGCGGGGCTAACAACGTTTTGTCACTTTTCTCCGTGTTGTTCAGCCAGAGGTGACACTCCACTAATTTCGCTACAGCTGCTAAAGGAAGGGGACCTGGGTTTCTGTCTTGATTTTGTTACCTCCTGCTTCGTATGTGGGATTATTTATCCTTTTTTGGTTACTCCACTAGGATCATCCTGAACACGGGGTCCTGTTTCTTGTTCGAGAGCTGCTCAACGTGATCCAGGACTACACCTGGGATGACAGTAGTGATGATAAAATCCGCATCTACACCTGCGTCCTGCACCTGCTTTCCGCCATGAGCCAGGAGACCTACCTCTACCACATAGACAAAGGTAGCCGGGTCCCCGGCCAGACTGCACTGTGCTTGAATTTCCTGAAAGTCAAGTGCAGTGTTCTCATTTTTTCTTTTATTGAATCCCCTTGTGTGTTACCTACCATGAACTTCTAGTGCAGGGTGTCGATAAATTTGTCCAATTTAAGAATTACCTGGGGCAACTCTTAAGAATACAGATTCCCAGGCCCCACCTGTCCCTTCTAAATGAGAATCCCCAGGAAGAGGCCTGAGACTTTGTATCTTCAACAGTTGTATCTTTAACAAGCATCCAGGATCATTTTGGGAGATAGTTGAGTTGGGAGAGGTGCTCTTGGATCAGTGCTGTCTTCGGTGTGCTACAGGATAGCCTAGAACGGTGGTTAAATGTGCACATGCAGGAGCTTCATGCCAGGCCAGTGCCTTACCGGTCTCAGGTGGGTCCCGGCCCGGACCCTGAGATCGGGTGCTTGGAGGGGGAAGGCGGCCTTGCTCCGCTACGTGCAACCAGCCAATTTGAACTTGCTGCTACAGGTTTGGGAGCCGCCTCCTCATGTCTTCGACGTAACACAGGACAGCCCCAGTCCCAGACCTCTGCCCCCTGGGCCGAAGCATCTTCCTGCTTGTCAGACCCTCACTTCCCATGTTTGGTTTCTGAAAAATGGCCCTATGGTTCAAAGTGCTTTGGCCAGGAAATGTACTGCAGGGTTTAAGCAACTGTCTCTACACCTGGACACTCCAGGGAACAGATGTGCAGTTCCAAGGATGGTCTTCTGTCCTACCCCTCAGAGGCTTCCTCTGGCTGGGATTTGGGAGCTGATATTACTTAAAGATGTGACGTAGGGAGGCTGGTTGATGTCAATGATGCTAGGGGCTCCCACGGTCTGAGCCCCTCCTGCGTGCTAGACTCCATGGGCCTCTTTCTCCTCTAATCCTGATAGCATTATGAGGAGCACAGGCATCCGTGTCCCCGTCTGACATATGAGCAAGGGGAGACTCAGAAGGACAGTGTGGTTTTACCAGCCACGTGGTTTCAAGGGCTCATGGCCAGTTAGTGCTGGAAGTGCAGTTCCCTGTGGGATGCGTGTTATGCTGCCTCCTTGACTACAAAGTGACAGTGTTTTAATTAAAGTAAATCATGTTACACACACACAATAAACCATAAAGCTCAGTGAATTATCACACAGTGCACACACCCTGGTAACCACCACCCGGGTCAGGAAATCAAGTGTTACTAGTCGCCTGGAAGTCCCCTGCACACCCCCACCCAGTCAGCACCACCACTTTTCCTCTGTAAAGCTATACTGCTCTCCTGACTTCCAGCATTACAAATCGGTCTGTCAGGTTTTGATTTTTACGTAAGTGGACTCGTTTAGCAAGTGTTCTGTGGTGTCTGCCTTCTTTCACTCAGTTTTATGTCTGTGAGATTCTTCTGTGTCCTGTGTAGCTGCGGTCCATCCTTTTGCATTGCTGTATAGTATTCCGTTGTATGAATGAGATGGAATTTGTTCATTTCCCTATGGATGAACAGCTCTGGGCTGTTAGGAGTAGTGCTGCTGTGAACACCCCTGAATATGTAACTCTCAGGATGCACTTCTGTCAAGGACATGACTGTGGAAGTGCCAGCTTGTGGGATTGGCTGTGTTCAGCTCCGGTAGATACTGCCTCAGTTTTCCACAATACTTCCACCCCTTGACACTCCCGCCAGGCCCACTTGTTCCCTTGACATGGCCAGCCTTGTTCATTTCTCTGGCAGCTAATGAAGTTCAGGTCCTTTTCCTATATTTGTGGGCCTCTTATTTCCTCTTTTGTGAAGGGCACATGGAGGGCTCAGAACAGTAGAGAAACTTCTGAGGACCCGACACTGGCGTGGCCGTGGGTCTGTAAACCCTAGACCCTGTCCCCAGAGCGAACCCGCTCCTCACTCTTCTCTGCCTTAAGTGGATTCACTTAATCCTCTGTCTACACAGCACAGCAGGGCGGACTGTAGGAGCCAGAGCACGAGCGCAGGGAGGGCTGCTACGTTTGACAGACGGAGACTTGTTTTCTAGCTTTTAGAGATGAAAACAGGAGGGTGGGTTTTCTTTGCTGCCTTCTTGGCCCAGCTGTGTTTACTCTGGATGCACAATTGTGACCTGACAGTCGTCTCAGTAGGAGGGAGTCAGGGGGCGGGGGTGGGGCTTCATTTTCTCATCCTGTCTCATTCTAGGCAGCCTTTTAGACAGTGTTGACACAGGTTTGAACTTTTGAAAAACTGGGGTCAGATTTTTTTTTTCATTGACGAAGGATGCCTCGGCTGTTTTCCTTCCAGATGAATAAGAAGAGAACATTCCGAGATTTCCTGGAGCAGTAGCTGCAGTGCTTGTGTGCACGCATGCAAGAGAGCGTGCTTGATGTGGAAGGGGAGATGTTCCTGACACGGAATGTTTATGTATTTCCTGTGCAGCTAGGTGCCTCGTTGGTGGAGTACCACCCCGGGGGCCTGTGGGAAGCCACCGTAGCGCCTTCCATCCTCCACGCGCTTGCCAGGCCCTTGAAGCATTTGGGGTAGTGACCTCAGGGACAGACAGATGCACTGGGCTGTTTTTAGTGGCCGTTTGCCAGGGATCTTATTCCTCCCCTTTGTGGGCCCCCGTCTGGACTCTCAGGCCCACTCTGCACTCTGGCCTGACCAATTACTTCTAACTCTCAAATTCGCCCTTTCCACCTTCCCTCCCTGCCTTCCGCCCTTGTCACCAAGCATTAGCATGAAAACTCCCTTCCCGGCTCCTGACCCCCTTTTACACTTTCTCTGATGAGTTCAACCTTCAGGGCCCAGGCTAGCTCTCCCTAATTCCCGAACTCCATCCTGCGCCTAGATTTGAGGATCCCGTGACCCTGTGCCGCCCTCTCCCTACGTTCAGCACACGCTGTTGTAATTGCCTGTTTGTCCAACTGCACCTCCTTATGGGCTGTGAGCTCCGTGAAGGCAGGACCAGGCTGGCCTGTTCCCCACCAGGTCGCCAGCTCCTGGACCCTGGCACAGAGCAGGCCCTCATTCAGTAGGGTTTGTGTGCGTGCGTGCGGGTGTGCATGGGTATGTGTGTTGTGTGTCCATGCACGCCTGCAAGTGAGCAGCCTGCTGTGAACACACCTCTGCCCCTCCCCCCCACCCCGGGCAGGAAGCCTGAGCTTGGGTGGTTGGCCACAGGCGGTCCTAGACCTTCTCTCTTCTCTACTGCTGCTGGGCTGGTCTGAAAGAGTAGATTCCAGCTCAGAGTGAGCCTGGGGTTTATGCCAGGAACTGCCCTCATCCTCGGCAGTGGACTGACACGTTCCGTCACCAGCTGCAGTTTTATCAGCCTGCAAAAGCAGATGCTGTTGAATGGCTGAATCAGATTCTTTCTCTTCGTAAAAGAGTCACTGCCATCCTCCACATCATGGACAGCAGTTGAGACACAGCAGCCAGAGCCAGAGCCGTCTCAGGAATCCTGGGCCGGACGCCTGCGGCCCAGGACAGCCCACCCCCAGCCTGTGTCATGGGAACCACCGCAGAGGCACCGGCGGCCCGGGAGAGCGCTCCCCTGGAGAGTCCCTGTGAACGGGCAGCTCAGGCCTGGAGGAGGGGTTTCCTGCAGACAGACGCTGGGGGGCGAGGAGACCAGTTGTTCTCCTTCTCGGGCCATATGTCCACAACCTGCTTATAAATGGTTCAGCCAAAAAAAAAAAAGTGTTTATCTGTCTGTGTGTGAGAGTGTTGTGGAGAGAGCAAGCAAGAGAGCTTGCACGGAAGGGGCAGAACATTATCAACTGGGGACGCGGGGTGAGCGATAGGCGGGTGTTCAGTGTTCCGTTTTCCCCACTTTTCTGCAGCCTTGACCTTTTTTAGAATTATTCTTGAAAGAGCAATCAGAAATATCCATGAAGTATCTCTGAAGTTATTAATTAAAATATTCATTATACTATTATAGTAAATTGTTTAATCAATTAATCAATCACTGTATGGTTATACCTGTCCCGTTCCCCGAAAGGTTCAAGGCAGATTGCAGGAAATATACAAAATAATAACATACAGTTTTTCAAATTGAAAAAATTGGTTCTTAGGAAGTTATAACTTAGGAAATACATGTAGATATATATCTGTGTGCTGTATATATGGGGCTCTCCTATGTATATTGTTTTGTTATTTTTTATTAATAGTATATTGTAAATACCTTTTAGTAACAGTGTATTGGAGCAACAGTACAGTGTAGCACGTGGTAGTTAACAGCTGTAGATCATATACTCTTATTGTCTTCGTAATATTTTGTCTAATGCTAATGCCACGGAGCATTTAATCAAGACTCTCGGTAGACATGTATATTGCTTCTCCTCTCACCAGTATATACAACATTTATAATGAACGTACACTGAACATACAATGAACACTGGTCTTTATAATGAAACAGTGAACATCACATACATGCATCGTTGTACACCTGTGGAATGATTTTCTTAGGATAAATCCCCTGGGAGTCGTTTTCCCCAGTCAAAGACCTGTCAAAGGCTTTCTCTGTACTAAAACTTTTTTTTTCTGAGTAAAATAGAAATAGTTTTAAAATATATATAGCATAAAATTTACCATTTTAACTATTTTTAAATGCACAATTCAGTTTTATTGAGTATATTTGCAGTGTTATGCAACCATCATCATTATCCATTTCCAGAATTTTTTCATCATCCCAAACAAGCTCTGTACCCGATAAACAATAACTTCTCATTCGCCCTCCCCCTTAGCCTCTGGTGACCCCTGTTCTACTTCCTGTCTTTGTGAATTTGCCTCTTCTAGGTACCTCACGTAAGTGGACTCATACCGTCTTGGTCCTTTTGTGCCTGGCACATTTCACTGGTCCTAATGCTTTCAAGATTCATCTGTGTTGTAACGTGTATCAGAATTTCATTCCTTTTCATGATTATCTGTTGTGTGGATAAACCACATTGTGCTTATCTGTCCATCCATCAATGAACAAACTTGGGTTCTTTCTGCCTTTTGGCTGTTGTGGATAATGCTGCTTGAACATTTGTGTACAGTTATCTGAGTCTCTGCTTTTACTTCCTTGGGTATATGCAGCATTGGAGTTGCTGGATCATAGGGCAGTTCTGTTTAACTCTCTGAGGAACCAGTAAACTTTTCCACAGCAGCTGTACCATTTTACATCCCCACCTGCAAAGCGAGAGGTTCCCAGCGTCTCCACGTCTTCATCAGCACGTCTTACCCTCCTTTTGTTTTGTTGTTGTTTTTAGTAACAGCCATCCTAATGGGTGCCAGGTGGCTCCTGGACATTCCTTACCTATTTGCAAACTCTTTCGTTCACACCAGTAGCTTTCCCAGACCTACATCAAAACTAGGTATTATTCTTTCTCACCTTTGTTAGTCTGACAGGTGATGTTTTTTAAAAAAAATTCTGTGGTTTTAGTTTTCTGTACTTTGATTACTGGTGAAGTTGAATTTTTTTTCATAGAATTATAGGGCATTTAGATGTATTTCGGATGCATTGACTTTTGATATAATTGCCAATTTTTCTATAAGTGACCCCAGTAGGGTCACTTTCTTTAAAGCTTCGAAGCCATCACTGCACATCGTACCTGGCTTTTCTTGTCTTCATGGCCAGTGCCTGTTCTGTTACACGTGGTCCCCTGGTTCTGTAGCTTGTTGCCAGCAGTCCCGTGAATAGTCTGTGTGGCCCCAACAGACAGCTCATGACTTTGATCCTGATGGGGCCTTCCATTGTGGCCCTCATGCTCTGCCTCTCCCGTCTGCAAGCTCAACCGAGTGCCACATGTCCCCCACTTGTGTCACCTCTTGTTTGCATCACACAACTGTGACCTCATAAATCGCTTTTGAATCGTGTATGCCTGAGAGACAGGATCTTTTTCGCTTATTCCTTAGCTAGGGGTGGTGATGAGTCGGACCAAGAAGAGCACAGCAAATTACATTCCAGCAGATGAGCTAAGCTGACTCGGTTTATTGAAAATGCCTCTAAACCATGAACTGGATTAGCACTGTGTGTATGTGGCCGTGTAAGCACCGCCACACCCTCCCGAGGCACCTGCATGGCCTCTGGCTTATCAGATGTCATGGCACCTGGGACTGTGGCCAAATTTTAGACCTCGGGTCAGAAACTTCAAAGGCCACTGCACTTACCCCTCCTTGACCACGTAGCACTGAGGGGGCTGCAAGGCTTCTGCACTGAACTGAGCGCTTGTTCACTGCAGGTGGGAATGACTGTGCTCGGCCACGTGCATGTTGGCGTTTGAGAGTTGGGGTGAAAGCAGTTTAAAAAGGATCTGGTGAGAAAAGGTGTGTAGGCCCATGTAGGTATGGAAGGAAAGAACTGATTATGCAAGGGGGAGGTTGCAACTTTATTACAGACAATGACTTTGCAGCAGCCTGGCCCTGGCCCTGGGCTGCCCATCAACCACCCCCACCCCAAGAGAAAATGAGACCAAGAAAAGAAAGAACAACTTAATGTGTCCACAGGAGGGACCAGCTGATATGGAAATAGCTCCGCCACATCTTATTAAGTGAAACGAGCAGAGTGCAAAGCAGCGCCCTGCAGAGTCTTTCCTTCCTCACCCGGAGGTCATGCTTCCTGCAAGGTCGGTAGGAAGGAAGGAGGAAGGGAGGTCAAACTCAGGCTGTCCTTGCAGGCTGATCTTTCTCTGGACAGCGGCTGTCACAGGAGGTGCCCAGGCAGAGAGTGGGGGACTTTTTGGTGAGAGGACTCAAGTTCACGAGAAAACACAGGGGACCTTATGTTCCATCTGCCGGAGTTTTGAGGCTGAGTGGTGGGGCAGGCAGCTGGGGGCCATGCTTAATAGCTTAGGCTTTGAAACGAACTTCCCAGTTTGCGAGCCTAGCTGGGACGGCCTCCAAGCCTCAGTTTCCCCACCCGTCATCCGTTGCGTGTGCTGGTTATGAAGATTCTGCAGTAATGTATGTGGAGCACGGAGCCCAGCGCCTGGCACACGGCTGCACAGCACTGGCAGCTATTCTCATGGTCTCTGTGAAGCTGGTTGTCCCCTCCTGGCTCAGGGGGGCACGACTTCCACCTCAGGCCTCTGGCTAAGACTGTCTAGAAGGCCAGGCGTTTGCCCTGTGACTCCCTGAGGCCCCAAGCCCAGTGGGAAATTCTCGCCATTTCCATGTGTCCTGTTGTGCGTTCCTGCCACCTGCTGACACCGCGTGCCATGTGGCTGCCTGTCCCTGGCCTCGGGCTTGGAATATCTCACTGCTCTGGTTTCTTCCATCAGTTGACTCCAACGACAGCCTCTACGGGGGAGACTCCAAGTTTCTGGCTGAAAACAACAAGCTGTGTGAGACGGTGATGGCTCAGATCCTGGAGCATCTGAAGACCCTGGCCAAGGACGAGGTAGGTGCCTCTGGCTCCCCGACCCTCGTCACTCGCCCTGAAAGAGACTTCCCTGGGTGGTTGGACATTGGTTTGTGCTTCTGGGTAGACCATTCATTGAGGGCCCGGGGGCCTCTGGTCCCGCCGTGTTCTGCCTGCCTGGTGCCCCTGCTGCCCTTCTCGTCATTCAGGTCTCAGCTCAAGTGCCTCCTCAGAGTGGCCCTCCCTGACCCCGTGTCACGTGGCCCTCCCTGACCCCGTCTTGCATGGCCACCGCCCTCCTGCAAAACCTCTGTGCTGTCCCTGTGATGCTCGGTGTGTTCACTTGTCAGTCGCCTGCCTCCCCCTGCAGAATGTAAGCTTCATGGGGCCAGACCTCGAGGCATGGGTCTTGGAGACCTGCCTGTGCCCAAGACAGGGTCTCTGGGGTCCTTCTGTCACTCACCATGGCATCCCCACCTCGGACAGCTTGACATACAGGCATGTGGGCTAAATAACGACCTCAGTCCTTTTAACGCCCATGACAGCCCTGGGACTTGGGGGCTGTGTTCATTCTCCTTGGCTCAGAGAGGTTTCCAGAGCCCCCGGTTTCCTCTGGTCATGACAGAACACGGTCCCCACCCAGATGCCCCAGCCTGAACTCTTAACCGTCACATTGCCCTCCTTAGTCAAAGCCTTGCCACTTATCTTTTAAGAAGTGGCATGTGGCTATTGCCCCACCACGACGGTAAGTTACGTTTTCCCAGCCTTTATTATGTGTGAGTGTAGCTTGGAGAACTTTCGTCTAATTCTCACAACCGTCCAGTGATTCTTCTACACTTTCCAGATGAGGACACGGAGTCCTGGAGTGGTAACTATGGAATATGGCCAAGGCATTCTTCTAGAGCCCATGTTCTCATCCACAGAGTATATTCTTTTATCAGATGTTGTGTCTGCCTTTTCAGAGCAGTTTTTCCATATTCTCCATATGGTCCATATAGAATATTCTCCATATTTTCCATATGGATGATTGATTTCAGTATGATCTCCATATTATAGTACAACCTTGATAACTCCCTGATGCCCTTCCCCAGTCACCCCATTTTTTGTAGCTTCAGCCCAAATACGTGGGTGACAGACGTATCCCAGAAGCCCTGTCTCAGGCTTGGCGGAGATGGTTGGTCTTTCGGGTGTTGTGTTAAGGCTGGTCCCTGTGGTGTCATCAAGGTGGGGAGGTTGGCAGGGACTCTGGAGTCAAAGCCGGTGACTGGCCTTTCTCTGCATCCTTCCCCTGGGCAGCTGATCTCGGACTTTCTGCCGCCACGTGCCCCACACCTCATCCCTGGGTCTTGCTCTTCACCACCCCGAGCTGCCTGCTTGCAGCTCTGAGCATTTCAGTTTTGTTATTCCCACCGAGCAAGAGGCAACCTGACAGCTCGTTCCTGGTCTCATTTTGGCAGACTCCTGTTTCCTCTGACTGCCACTCACCCACCCACCAGTTCCCTTTCCCAAACCCAAGACAGATTCCGGACTGCTCAGTTTCCAGCCGCTTCCCAGCAGCCACTTCCTTCCCAAACCCAGAATCTCTCTTTCCTAGGATTTGCTCCTATAACTCCTACCCCACCAAGCCCTTTGAAGATAGAATAAGATCAAACTGGATTTTTAATTTAGTTCTTATTTATTTCTAGCACTGTGTAGAATACCACTGTTACCCTTATCCCCTTCCTCACCCCACTCAAAACCAGAAGGATATTCTGTAGCTGCGGGTGCACATACACGTGACGTACATTTATGTCCTGGGTTCCCATTCTCCCCAGACTATTCAAGCAAGTCCTGGAGAGAGTGGGATTTTTTTCTGGACTCCATTCCCTAGTCCAGGGTCAGGGGCACTGCAGGAAGGTCCAGCCTTAAGGTTAGTCCAGAAGGCAGAGGAAAAATACAGAACCACTGCCGCCCTGGGGGCCCCAAGTACCTGCTAGCAGCCTCTCTAGGGAGGGAGGATGTGGGCGTGTCCCGCTGACGCTGGGGACCTGCTGGGTGCAGGGCTGCAGAACTCTGGGAAAGTTAGTGCCAGAGGGCACTGGCTGTGGGTGGAGGAGGCAGCATCAGAACCCATTTCTTCAGGAACTGGTTTATCAAACTAGTTAGTATTAGAAGAGATAACTCCCCTCCTCCAACTGGAAGGCCTTTTTCGAATGCGTGTAAGCTTCTTGGTCTCTGTGGTAGGTGGCTTTCGGGAGAGAGCCCTGTACCCTATAGTGGGGGTAGGGTCCTTCGCTGTCAGCTTGCACTGGTTACACTGGCTGCGTGCCCTCTGCTCTCCCTGCCGTGGAGAATTCTTAGCCCCACCCCCCATCTTTACAACCGTGGGCTCTGGCTCCAGCTTCTTGCCTGGGGCCTCTGAGAGCAGGGCGGTGTGTTTGACAAGTTGTGCCCAAGAAACACATGCCACGTGGCTTGAAAGTGTATTTCTTTACTCTGATGCAGCAGCTGAGTGTACTCAGGGGCGGCCGCCGACAGCATAAACGACCATAGCCTGGGACCCCCAGGCCCACAGTAAAAATAGAGCCCAGAACCATATAATCTGGAACAATTTTATTTTCACATTGGCCTCTTTTTCTCTTGGGGGAGGAGGCGCTAATGGCGATAACAACTCTAAACAGAATTCTGAAAGAAGAGCAAGGCTGGAATGTTTCCGAAGAACATTTCAACTCACATAAATACCAGGGACACTCACTGAAAATGTCTGTCTGTATATGCACATTTATTAGAAAAAATGTGGGTGGATGGAGCTGAAATGGAACATATCATCTTTCACTTTAACAACACGCTGTGAAACTGGGCGCAGGGGCCTCAGGGGTGGGGTCCTCGAGGGCCGGTGCTGGGAGACCTCCCTCTGCCTGGTAGGGAGCAAAGCTTCGCCCTGTGAAAACCCCAGTGCTGGTGCCTGTGCTCAGTGTCTCATCTCTCAGCCCTGATCGCGGCCCTGCTTCCAGAATTGTCCTCTAAATCCACGTGAAGGAGCCAGCCCTGTTTTAATCACAAGCTTTATGAAGCCGTCTGGGTGTGGTGAAGCTGGGAACCATGCCAGACCCTTACAACTTCCTGGAAATGACAGTTCTCATGGGAAAAGGATGAAAAGAAGCTCTTTTCTATTTAAAGCCTCCCTGGAGCGAGAAGGGGGCTCGAGGCCCTGATTTGGTCCCCTTATAATGTGTTCTTAGTTTTCCGGATCTTTGCACATTGGCTGGCATGCTTTCTCATTCCCCAGACCCATCTCTAACAATTTCATCTCTAATGGGCTGTGCATTTAAAACACATTTGAATTGGGCTTGTAGGAAAAAATGCTGGAAAAGATACAGAATAATGAAATAGCCAGTGAGCTATCATCTCCCTTGTTTGACTTTCTGAAACTCTCTCTCGCTTCAGTGAAGTGTAGTTAAAGGGCCTCTCTCAGGGAGACTTTTCAAGTTGGATTTGAGAGAATTTTCTATTAGTGAGGACCTCTAGATCTGAGCAGAACACAGGGGGTCCTCCTGTTCCCCAGGCATCAGATGAGGGCCAGTTTAAAAGGCGACCAGGACGGGCTGGAGCCCACTGGATGATGTCTGCCCAGGCTCCCGACTGGGACAGAGCTCACTGTCTGATCAGAGGAACCCAGAGCGGGCAGTTGCTAGCCAGTTAATGAGTCGGTGCCAGGTAGGTGCCACCTTCTCTCCCCGTGTCCGCCGGCTTGGTACTGGGCAGCTGGACCCGACTCCTTGATGGCCGTGCTGTTCAGTCGGCTCGGCTGCTTCTGCGATCTCACCTGGCCCGGGCTATTGCCGAGGCAGGCTCGTCAGTCACTCAGCCACCCTCACCCAGCTGCATCGGAAGTTGCTCCTGGGCGGCTTATTGTGCTGTTTCCTCCTCCACTGGAGGAGGGGCTACGTTGGCTTAGCAGTTAGCACAGTCTGCTACTCCGTGGGCTCCACATGGGGAAGGATGGTTGGATGATGGACAGTTGGTAGGTTGGTTGGGAAAAGTATGTACTGATCTAAACCACATCACACCTTTCCTACTTCCCTGGGTGAAACTGTGCAGGTGCGCTGGGCAGACCTCTTAGCCGCTTCAGAATTTGGATCCCTAATGTGATGCTCACCGTGGGTGTATGGCTAACCGTGGGTCTATCTGATAAACTGGAGAGGGCTATGGGAGGCTGTGGGTGCCAGCACGGGCTCCAGAGTTGGATGGCTGGACCTCAGATCCTCCCTCCGCATTTGCTGGCTGTGGCCCCTGAGCAAGTGCCTGAAGCTTTCTGACCTTCGAGTGCCTTATCTGCAAAATGGGCGTGCTCTGGTTTCCTGTCACGGCTTTAAGTCTCCACAGACTTAAAATAGCCCTCATTTCTGATCTCACAGTCTGGCGGGTCAGAAGTTGTGATGGTTGGGCCGGTTTCTCTGCTGTGGGTTTCCCAAGGCCAAAATGAAGGTGCTGACCGGCTGGCTCTTACCGGGAGGCACTGGGAACAACCTACTTCGCAGGTCATGGGAGTCGGTAGACTTCAGTTCCCTGTAGTTTAGGACTGAGATCCTGTTTCCTTGCTGGCCGTTGGCTATGGGTGGTTCCTTGGCTCTCAGCTTCCTTCTTCCGTCTTGAAAGCCAGCACTGGTGGGTCATGTCCTTCTCGTGCTTCGAGTCTCTCTGGTTTCCCCTTCAGCCTCATCTTTCCTCTGCTTTCCTCGTCTACTGCTTGCCTCTGTCTCCAGCCTGAGAAAGTTCTCTGCTTTTTAGGGCTCAAGTGATTGGATTGGGCCCACCCAGATAATCCAGGATTATCTCCCTAAGGTCCATACCCTTAATTACACCTGTAATTAAGTCCCTTCACAGCAGCACCTGGATTAGTGTTTGAATAACCAGGGGCCAGGGATCCTGGAGGACAGCTCTAGAATCCTGCCTACCTACCAAGGGTTGCTGGGAAGATTCAGTGAGTCGTGTGAAGCACAGAGCATCATACCTGGCACTCTGTAAGGGCTCCATGCCCGTTAGCTGCCAAGGAGCAAAGCAGATGCTTGAGGCTCCTGGCAGAATTGATGTCTGCAGTGCCAGCCAAGAGCACCCAGCAAGGATATCACAGGCCCACACAGACGTGTGGTCTGACCTGGTCCCCTGTTAAGGCTTACCTGTTGGCTTGGACTATCCCTGGTGCCTTTGTTTACCTCTGGGAGCTGGTAACCTTTCTCCTGGGCCTGTTTTGGAGGTTTTCCCTTTTTTGTCTTTGCCGTGAAAAGCTGGGGTTCAGGTTTGTTCTACTCTTGACATTTTGGTTAGACTTTCCTTGTTTGAGTACCTTTCACATCAGATTATTTAGCAAGAGAGGAAAGATCTGGTGTTAGGAGTATAGGAATGGTTCTCAAAAGCTGGGCATGGGCGCCAGGCCTCGGGGACCATTGTTCATGGGGAGCTGGCTTTGGTCTTCATTACCAGCACCCAGAGGGCGGGAAGAGTGACTGAAATTTTGGGTGGCCTGAGGACACATCAGCCTTTCGGTTTTCACTTGTACTTGCGTTAAAGCAAGAAGGCCCATCACTGCAGGGGTTCAGTTTCATTCCTTGACCCCACGGAGCGCTGAGTCTCATGAGCGCATCACTGGCTTCTGCTTCCAGTCCACGGGAGACGCCCACGTGGGAGGCACAGAGCAGGGCTTCACCCTGTGAGCTGGTGTCACCTTAACTGTCATACTGCCGAAGCAGCTGGGACTCTGGGAGGCTAAGCAGCTCGCCCTCCAGAAGATCTGTAATAGAGCTGGCCCTGGAACCCGGGGCCGCACCCATGCTGGACCGGGCCTGCGCCCCGGTGCCAGGAGTAACCTCCCTTTTCTGTTTCAGGCCCTGAAGCGCCAGAGCTCCTTGGGCCTCTCCTTCTTCAACAGCATCTTGGCCCACGGGGACCTGCGCAACAACAGGCTCAACCAGCTCTCCGTCAACCTGTGGCACCTGGCCCAGAGGCACGGCTGTGCGGACACCAGGACCATGGTGAGGCGCTCGGGGTGCCCCCCCCCCCCAGACACAGGTATCCTGGCCAGCGACACAAGCCCACAGGCCGGACACAGCTGGCCCCAACACAGTGTCAGGGCCTGGACATCAAACAGCCCCAGTCTGCCCTTCTAGAAAGGCGCCTGGCCCTACAAAGTACAGGCGGCTTTCCATATCTGCAGGTCCCACATCCTCGGATTCAACCAACTGCAGATTAAAAATATTCAGGGGGAAAACGATTCTGGAAAGTTGCAAAAAGCAAAACCAGAATTTGCCGTGTACCAGCGACTATTTACATACCATTTACATTGTGTTAGGTATTGTAAGTAATCTAGAGGTGACTTCAACATACGGGAGGATGTATGTAGGTTATATGTAAATACTACACCATTATATATGCGAGATTGAGTAGCCCTGGAGTTTGGTATCAGTGGGGGGTCCTAGAACCAAGGGAGGACTGACAGTATTAAGAGTTAGTTCCCACTGAATAAAAACCACACATATGGAAACATCAGTCATTCCTGGTGCTTTTAAGAGCACGTTGTAATCTAAGGAGTCTCATTTAAAAACTGGTTTCTTCTCCCTTCTCTGCTAAGAAAGCATAAGCTGGTTTGTTGGAGCCTTGGGCCCCAAGGATAGAGAAGTACGAACAGAAAGGAGATGAATCTTTCTCTTCGCTCCTAGGTGAAGACCCTGGAATACATCAAGAAGCGAAGCAAACAGCCAGACATGGGGCATCTGACCGAGCTGGCCCTCAGGCTCCCTCTGCAAACACGGACCTGACCCCAGGAGCCCTGGTGCCAAGTCCAGAAAGACCTGTTTTGCTTTTTTTTTTATAATACATATATACATATATATGTGTATGCAGACTGGTTTAAGCTCTGGCCTTTACCCAGATGATTCTGACAGTGAAGTGGAAACTGTCAGAGCATGCAAAGCCAATCCTGTTCACCCAGCACAGCGCCTGTTTCTTTGCACAAGTGGCCTTCAGATTGGCCTTAAGTGAGAAACAGAAGAATGCAAGTAACATCTTTCTCTTCTGGAAGGTGTTTTTTAATTGGGAAAAGAACTCTGAAAAGCAATCCACTCTGAAAGAGCCACTGTGCCCACTCCCTCATTTGCTTTCTATCAAAAGCAGCTCTTGACTGGGTTCAGAATATGTTAGTGGATTAAAGGAAAAAGCAAGGTTAAATATGAGACTCCCCGTGACTGGGAAATACACTGTAACTGAATAAACCTCCTGAAGCAGTTATGTTCATGACTGTTCATTTAATTACTGCTGACTCTCATCCAGAAGACAATGTGTCTAAACATACTGCCTGGTTTGCTTTGCAGCCGTAATTCTGAACGGCATATGAGTCTGTCTACTTCCTTACCAGTCGGGGGGGGGGGATCTGATCCTTGTACTACCACTGACGAGCTTCCACTGGCAGTTTATTTTCAATCATCAGTAAGAGCCTTAATATTGGTAGTGGTGACTCCGCCTAGAACCCCTTGCTCAGGAAACGCATGCACGCTGTGAACTGAAAGTGCCCCTGGGCTGGCCTGCTTTTGGAAAGTGTACGCTGGACCTAGACTGCATTTCACCTCTCCTCTGCGAAACGCTCGATTACAGTTCACACAGTGACAGTGGCTAAAATAATTTTTTTACAAGTTACATAAACTCACATTTTAACTGAATAGGACCAAGCATATGCTATGGATTTTCTGGCCAGCTCAACAGTGAACCCCCCTTCCCACGCACCCCCATACAAGATTTCTGTTGAGAAAATGGCATTCGTCAAAGGACAGTGGGGACTGAAGGAGGCCCCTTGACTGAACAAAACACAGGCATTCAGACAGCATGGGCGTTGCTCAAATATCCCCAGGGGGCCTTTATTTCACAAAGCTATTTCCATGAAAATGATTTCATATGCCACTTTTAATCTGATACTATTCAAATGAACAAATGATGCACTTGCACTTCGTCATTTCTTCCACTTTGAGGCTGTGTGCCGGCGTCGGTGCCCAGGCCTGAGTCAGTAGGGTCTTAATGCCCTTCCATTAACCTGGACTTGGACCTTGACGTCAGGTCAGGTCTACATTACAGCAAAGGAGCTTCTGAATCACCCGCCACCTGGCCAGGTGGACGCTTAGATCTTCTACGCTCTTGTGTGCTTTCCCCCAGCCTGTTCGTTACTCAGATAATTAGCCACGGCCTTCATGGGATGAAGTCTACTATCGTGAAGGATGATGGAACGATTTTTAAGTCCAAAAATTTTAGGAAATAAGGTAAAAATGAGGAAAACTTCTCATAAGACCTGTATTAGTTTTCTGTTGCTGCTTTAAATTGCCAAACACTTACTGGCTTAAAATGGCACGGTTTTAGCACCTTGCAGCCCTACTGCTCTGAAGTCCAAATGGTCTCAGTGGGCACACCTTCGAAGTGAAGGTGCTGGCTGAGCTGCGTCCCTTCTGGAGGCTCAGGGGAGACACAGTGTTCTCGCCTCTTCCAGCTTCCAGAGGACACCTGCATCCCTTGGCTGTGGCCCCTTCCTCCCGCTTCAAAACTACTGACAGCTGGATGAGTGTTCCTTGCAAGTCTCTTCTTTTGTCTCCCTCTTCGACTTTTAATCCTGGATTGCCTGGGTGGGCCCAGTCTAATCTTATTAAGGTCAACCGGTTAGCAACCGTAATTCCATCTGCTACCTTAAACTCCCTTTTGTTTTGTGGACCAGACTCACAGGTTCCAGACTCACAGATTAGGACTTGGACATCTTCGGGAGAAACTGTTATTCTGACCACAAGTCTGAACAGCCCTAAGTTTGTACAGCTGAACACACGATTTTTAAGGGGAGAACCGTGTCTACCTGGCAAATACTTTCGACAGGCCAGCCTAGTTGTGGAAAGGGGGCCTAGTGGGCTAAGGCAGGATGGCAGGAATCACCCCAAGGAATACAGTGGTTAAGAATCATGAGGTTTTGGGGGGAGCTGGATGAAGACAAGTATACAGATGGGAGGACCCTGCATAGAGGAGGGGCAGTGAGAAATCCCCAAGGGAGAAACAGCCAACAAGTTTGAGAACAGGTCTGTTAAATATTCAGCTAAGACCTTGGCTCTGCTTAGATACCAGACCTCTCCCTCCCACTTCTCCCCGATTCTGAGTAAAAATCCAAAAACTGCCTTGCTCCAGTGGAGGTAGGCTGTGTTCTACATGGAGTCAACAGATGAAGAACGTGGGAAATCACAGCAAAAAACCTTGCAGCTTACAGAGGGCTCTGGACATGGCAGGAGGAGGGCCGCGGGTGACTCAAGCCAGTGTTGTTTAATTTACAAAAGGACAGAGACCCAGTGAACATCAGCTCAGAGTGATCACTCTCAGGACTGCGGGCAGCTGCAGGGCAGGACCTGCCTCCAAAGCCACAGTGGTCCGCACCCCCCAGGGCAGCCCGGACAAGGCCGAGCCCAAGCTGAGGACACCTGGCATCTCGCTATCCCAGCTGCCCAACCTTCTCGCAGAGCCTGCTTCAGGAACAGACTTTAATAACCCTGCCCAAGCAAGCGGAACGCCTCAGCCAACGGTGACACTGAGCTAGAAAGTCGCATCCCATCACACAGAGACTGCTTCCCCTAAACAGCAAGAGGAGAAAGGCCTGACCCTCACGCCCGAATGAGAGCTGTCGCCGTGGGGGAGGCCGGAGGACAATCGCTCAGCCACTCTCCAGAATCGCCCAAGAGAAGGCTGAGCAGTCCCTCCTGATGAGCTGAGCAGGACCAGACTGTAGGGTGCTCCCCCGGCAAGATAAAAAGGGCAAGAGAAGCAGCGGCTGGTTCCCACGTACACTGAGCAAGTTCCTCTGGTGCTGATCGAGACCGGGAGATGTATTCCCGTCACGACCGGAGGTGCCCTGAAGAGCTGACTCAGACGCAGAGCCTCGCTTTCTAGGCATCAGATGGCCGCTTCCATTGTGTCTCTCAGGGCTGAACCCTCGGAGGGCCAAGTTCACATTATGCGGGAGGCGGCCCCCTGGATCGCTGCTAGCACAGTGTGGAGGACTCTAGACCAGGCCAGTGCTTGGTGGTCAGGGCGCAGGCAGGCCTGCTCACCACCGCCCCGTGGGGCAACAGTGCACCCATGCTGGCCTCACCAGCATCCACACCTCAGTCCTCCTTCCTGGCTGGGCCCTGAGTCTCCCTCCACGTGCCAGGGGCTGGCTCAGGAATAGGTATGTGACCCACTGCTGGGCAATGAGTTATGACAAAAGGTCTCTTGAGGGGCTTCTGGAAGTCTCCTTGAACCATAAGATTTTTCTTCCTCTTCTGGAATGGTCTAGTGTACTGCTGTGCTGCCTGGAATTGCTAGTCATTTTTCTACCAGCCTGATGAAGCCAGCACTGAGGACGGAGGAGCAGAGAGACAAAGAATGCTCCCTCGTGAGGAGCTGAATCAACCCCGACAACAGACCCTCCTGCCACGTGAGAGGCTGAGTCCCTGGCTGTCTAGGCCGGCCTGAGACGGGGCGCCTGTAGGGGCCGTTCAAGCCAAGTGATGTGAAAAAGGCCCAATCAGAACTTACACGGTAGGAAGCGCGATGCTGGGTGGATGGAGGTGGTGGCCATGTGTCACTCAGGTCACTGAACCTGGAGCTCTGGGAGGCTGGCTGGACAGTCAAGCCTGGGAAACACTGTTCCTGCTGCTGAGGAGCAACATCCCGTCTTCCCTGTGTGTCCTGCCTCTGGGCACCTGACCTCCACAGACGGCACCTGGGAGTCTCTTTCTTGTGACTGAAAAGAGTCCAATAAACAAATCCCTGGGAACGCATCTGTCACGGGTTCACGCGAAGGGCTAACGAACTGCCCCTCTAAAATGCCTCGTTCACAGTCCTGCTGAAGCAAAAAGACTAAATCCAACCACAGCACAGGGAAGCAGGGCAAAAGGCAAGACTGGCTTAGAAACACACTTCCCAGCGGCAGAGGAAGCTCAGCCACACCTGCCAGGTGGCAGTGCAGCGCCTCTGTGCCTGCGGCTACTCCAAGAAGGGAAAGGAAAGCGAGCTTCCTCGCCCCCCTTTACGTCAGCCCCACTTCCTGTTTGAGATTCCGACATGCAATAAGCTTGTTTCTCAAAAGACATTTTAAGCCCCAATGAGTATTCTGGGTGACATTCTCAAGAGGGGACATTCAGAATACTGAATAGTGGCGCAGGACTTGGGGCACAAAAGTACTTGGCACTTAACTGGTTGGGTGACCCCAGGCAACTTTATTACTTCCTCCCTGAACCTCGGTCTCCTCATCTATAAGATGGGGATGATAATAGCACCTATTTCATAGTTACGAAGATTAAATACATTAATGCGAGGGAGACACTTCACTATGTGCCTGGCACACACGCAGCACTCGACAAGCGTTAGCTATTCCTACCTACACACACCGCAGGGCAAACGGATGGAACGCTTCACACAGCACACAGGCGGTTTTAACCCCTCACACGATCTCCTGGCTCCTGAAACCCAAGCTGCCCTCACCCCAGTCTGTCCAGGTGCGACAACACAGTTGCCCTTAATCTCTGCAGGAGTTTGATTCCAGACAACTGTCCTGTGGCTTTCATCTGCGTAACACAACCATAAAAGCAACTGTGGCTGTTCTGGGGGACAGGGCAGTAGCGTTTAATCTTCAAACTTGACTGACTTGGACGCGTTCCTGTCAATGTAGAAGACCTTGCCCGGGGCGGGGGCGAAGCCGAGGCCGGCCCCGCGGCTGGACTTCCAGCTCAGGGCCCGGTCGTAGTCCCGCTGCAGGTTCTGCTGCAGGGTGTCGGCCGCCTTCTTGCTCAGAGCCATGTTGGGCCTTCCGGTCGTGCTGGGGGGGCGACTGAATGAAGGGGATAGATTTTTAAAGCCCCCCATGAGTTTGAGGAATTTCAGTTTCTGTTCCTCGTTTGCAAGACCAGCAGTATCCCATTGGCCAAACTGAGTTCCCTGTGGTGAGAGGAAACAGGTGGTCACTTTCCGGGTTTCCAAAGCCCTTTCCCTTCCCCGACCCCCAGCCGCACAGGGGAGGGGCCAGAGCAGCAGGCCCAGCGACCGTCCCAACCCCAACCGGAGCCCTTGGAGCAGCACCGCTGGGCCCGCCTCACTGATGAGGAAACGGCGGTCTGCGGCTAACCGGGGGCACTTCTAGCCCTGCTGGAACTCCATCTCGGGCCTGGCCCACACCAGGGCTGCCTGTCTGCTGACTCCTCCCCCAGGTTCGTGGCAGACTGTCACCTCACCAGGTGGAGGAGGGCAGGTGCTTCTCACAGCAGCTCGGCTGTTACGGCAGGAAGGGAGTGGAGGCCCCGAGAGGTAAAGGGTCACACAAGTCGCAGGCTGAGCCAGCCCAGGAACTTGGGGGTTCCACTTCCTTTCCAGGGCACTCTACAACCCAGGGCACACATCTCCCGTGTTCAAAAAAATGCAAGACAGCCTCTCAGGGCCGTGGCCTAAGAGCAGACCCCTTCCCTCCCAGGTCTGGGCAGAAGCAAGAAACCCAGCTCCCCTTGAAGACTACAGTTCTGAAGACTCAGAATCAAGCCCCGTGTGTGTGGCCCTGGTCGAGTTACCTAACCTCTCTGAGCCTCAATGTCCTCATCTATAAAACGGGGGTGCAACATCCCCGACAGGGCTTCAGTGAGGCTCAAATCAGGGTCTGTACAGACACCCAGAGCACGATGCTTGGCTCAGCTGAAGTGGAGAACTGTGGTTCCCCCCCGCACCCCACTGCTGACCCACGCTGCCTGGGGACTGTCTGCTTATTGCTAGGTCAGCTTTGGGAGAATAAGCACCAGTCGTTACTACCACTGCCTGGAGTGAACCGGTGACAGTTCTTCCAGCTTCGCCGTGGCCCAGATACAGGCATACTGGCAGCGTCCCAGGCCTGCAGTTTCTAGAATGAGAGGCCACCTGAGACAGCCCCACACTGGGCCTGAGGAGACAGCCGCCAGGGGCTGGCTGGTCGGTGAGCCAGCACTTCGGAGGGCTGCTGACCCCTCAGAGGGACCCTCAGCCGGTCCGGAATCCCCACCGCGTGCCTCAGCAGTCAAGGGGCCCCGGGCCCCAGGAGGCAGTGCCCCCTAAAGCATCCCCAGAGGACGGATCTCAGCCCCCAGCCCAGGGATGGCCCTCCTGTTCCCAGGCCGCCCAGGGGTAGCCTCTGGGCCACTGCTCTGCAGGACGTGGCCCTGTTTCCTGCCTTCCTCACTGAATCAGGGAGTCCCATCAGCTCTGCTCAGCTCAAGAGGATGGAGAGAAAGGAGACACAGAGGGATAACAAGTAACCAGGCCCACCCCCGACTCCACGGGGCCAGCGTGCATGTCCCATTGTACTGATGTGGAAAATGAAGCCCAGAGAGGGGAAGGTACTCACCAGGAGTCTCAAACTGGGAAGTGAAAACTAGAAAGCCAAGAACTGATCTCAGGTTTTCTGGTGCAAATTAACTGCTCTTTCCTGTGTTACGCTGTGGAGGCTTCACACAGTGCAAGGCTTCCCATCACCTGGGCCCTCTCTCCCAAATCCAATCTACGCTAGGCGGTGAAGCTGCTCTCCCGTCCACCCCACCCCCGGCCTCAGGCCTGCAGGCTGGGCCTCCCACCCCAGCCCTCAACCACTCCCACATCGACGCCCTCCAGCAGTGCCCACGTTAGAGCCCTGTGGCCCACCGCCCCCCTCGTCCCTCTCTTCAGCCTGGCCTTGTGGTGCCCATGCTGTACACCACCCCCAACCAGCCCCATCTCCTAGGGCCCGCCTGGCTTGGAAACCTCCCATTCCAGCTGGCCCTCGAAGCCAGGCCTGAGAGAGGCCTGCCACAGCCCCCTCTCACTCTGCCTCCTACCAGGCCCCAGCAGCCTTCTGAGGGCACCAGCCACTGCTGGACAGCTCGTCATCAGCGTCCCTGGCGACTAATGCCTGGGCCACCCGGCCCGTCCAGAGCCAGAGACAAATGTCCAGGCTGCTTATCTCGCACGGCCAGCTCTCTGGGAGGGAGGCAAGCACCCCTTTCGGGAGGAAAGGAGTCAGCTCAGGACAAGCTCTGCAGCAGAGGGAGCCAGCTGGTGGGCTGGGGCTGCCTCTGGGCCGGATGATGTCCCTGTGCTGTGCCCCTCCAGCCGCAGGGAGAGGAGGGGCCGGGAGGCTGGAGCACCACTCCCGGAGCCCAGCAGCACACTTACTGTCCACTTCTTGGTGTCAGAAGCTTCTGTTTTGCCTGACTCACGATCGATCTCTTCTTGTAAGGCCTTTCGCCTCACCTGAGCAAGTGAAAGGAAAGCAAAGAGGGAAATGACAGGCGTTTTCCTCTGAGCTTCTAACCCAGGACAGAGACGGGGCGGGGCGTGGGGTGGGAGCAGCTTTACTCTGCTGCAAAAATACCCTCTAAGCATCCTTGACCTAAAGCACGCAGGCCTCATTCATCCTTGTTTTTCATTCCTTAGGAATGAATCTTCCCAGACACTGACGTTTATCCGCCTTCAGCATTATAACTCTTTTTGTTTCTAACAGCCATTTTGGGTGGCAACTTTCCCAAAACACACTGCCTGAAGCCCTGCCTGCACAGAGGGTGATGGGGTTAACTTTCTTGCTGACCGCATCATTTTCTAGAAAGAACACAGGCTGTAGTCTGAATAGTCTGAATCCTAGCACTGCCATTAACTAGTTGTGTGAACTTTAGTAAGTCACTTCATCTTTCTGTACTGTTCTGTTTATCTGCAAACAGATGGAAACATCAGGTAAGCTGGAGGATAAAGGGGAGACAGAGAACTGTGCTTTACAGTAAGACACCGCTAACAAGAATCATATTATATATATAAATATAATGTTATCATCCCCAGTCCCAGCACAGAGCTCCAAAAACCTTTGGAATTCCCTAAGTGCAGAGAGGAGCAGGGTGCCTTTTGTTATGTTAATGAGGTGACTTTCAGAGGCAACTTTAAGATGGGGGCTGCAGGCCAGGAGGGTTGGAACACCCAGAACCAACCCCCTGACCTCTGGAGACTGAGCCTCCCACCAAAAGGCCAGGGATTTAGTCAGTCGTGTCTAGGTAACGAGACCTCCATGAAAACCCACAAGGACGGGATTCAGTTTCTGGGTTGGTGACACTGGAGGTTTGGGGAGGGTGGAGCTCTCAGAGAGCACATGGAAGCTCCAAGCACCCTCTCACACACCCTGCCCTGTGCACCGCTTCCATCTGGCTGTCCCTGAGTAAGACCCTTTTATAATAAAGCCGTAAACTAGTGAGTAATAGGTTTCTCTGAGTTCTGCGAGCTGCTCTAGCAAACTGACTGAACTGAGGAGGCCTTTGGAACCTCTGATCTATAACTGGTTGATCAGAAGCAGAGATGACAACCTGGCTTGGGACTGGTATCTGCAGCAGGGGGTGGGAGTTGGGGGCAGTCTGATGGAACTGAGCCCTTCGCCTGAGGGGTCTGACAGGGTCACACTGAGCTGAACTGTAGGACACCCAGCTGGGATCAGAGAATTACTTGGTGGGAAAACCCGGCCCCACGTTAAGCTGCTGCGTGCAGAACGCAGAGCCTGAGGTGGCCCCGGCACACAGGGGGCACACCTCGTACACCTCGTACGCTGTAGCTAGCGTGGCTCAGCCCACAGTCAGCGCACCGATGACCCTGCTGTTCAACAGGGAAGCTTCCAGGGCCTTATCCTTCCTCCCAAGGGTTCAGGTATAACTTCAGCTGTCCCTTTGGTGGCCTTTCCCCTTCTCGTCCAATCTGCCACGGGCAGCCAAACGAGGTGGGCATTTATTGAGTTCAAAAGTACATAAAACAATTCCAAGAGACAGCTGCAGGCATGAGAGCGAGAACGGTGGCATATTCCCACATGGGGTCCTGCTGTCCGCGCGGAACGTACAGGTGTGCGCTTACTGAAGCCGACAGTTCACCAGCTAAATGACAGAAGTTAAAGGAGCGGTGTATGCAGCAGGGCTGAACAGCGCTTTACAATCACACAGATGTGCAGTTACAAAGGGAAGGTTCGGAAGAGTGCAACAACGAAGGATGAGCAGCGATCACCATTCGGGGGCAGAATCTCAGGTTGCTTTCTTCCGCTCAATGTTTTACTATAATGAACTTTAATTACTTATGGAAAAAAGAGAGAGGGAAGTGGGACAGAAAATTTCACTCACACTGAGATAATCTGTCACCCGAAATGGTTAGAAGTTTTCTTGAAAACCCTAAAGTGTTTAATAGGCACAAATACATAAGAAGCAGAGAGGTGGTTGGTGAGCCCTGCCCGCATGATGTGCACAGGCCGGGCATCGTGCTGTGA